CCTAGCCTTATGCTGTGCTCCATTCCCAGTAGACTGAGTTTCAAATCAGGTCACAGGTGAAATGAGTTTAGCACAGTCTCACCTAAGTCTCTAGTGCATGTCTGTCCCCTGCGCACAGATCAGCCTGCTCTGCCCAGGAAAGCAGAGGGCCAAGTTCTACTGGATGAGCTCCGGGATGGGGGGTTGGAACAGTGCTACCAGTCTTTCACATTCAGGTGTAGGACAGCCAGACTTGCCTCACTCCCATTGCTCTTTAGCACTTGTGATTCAGTTGCCATGTAAGCCTTTTAACAACCAGCCAAGGTTATAGGATAGGGGTGGAAAAGACCCTGCCTCATCTTGAGTTTTACTGAAGGGAATCTCTTACCTTGGCAGCTTGGTGTTGTAGGTGCCACTCGGTGAGTTGGAACTGATTCTAACTGACATTTCAGTGTGGCAAAGAGGAGCCTGGTGTTTATCCTGCTAGCATGTTTTATTTTTCAGAGACTCATTCCATGGGGTTTTGTTGAATTTCTGTCCTTCTGATTGGGTTTGCAGGTGTAACCCACACACCTCATAGGTATGGTATTCTGTCCCATCTAATGTCACCGAGACCACATAGAAGAGACAGAAATTAATGAGTTTGCTCTACAGTCTTAGCTAACAGCCGGTTGTCTTTTAGCTCATGCAATAGAGGCTCATGCACTAAGCTTCAGAGGTCCCTGGTTCAATCCCACCCACCGACAAAGGCAGCCTAGGGAGAGACTTCCAGACAGCAGCCCCAGCAGTGGCAATGGTTGTACTCACTGCAGCATGACTGCCGTTACCGTAACGTGAGGACAGTCCAGACCCAAAAGCGTTGATTTTGAGACAGACGTGATCTCTCTTGGTCTGAGCACAGCACTGGAAGCCACAAACTCCTGAATTCCACTCTCTCTCTGACTTGGGGCAAATCAGTTAGCCATCTCCCTGCTGCAGATTTACCCTTCATAAAATGGGGATTACAATACTTTGCTAAATCCCCATTTTACAGATGGGAAAACTGAGGCAGAGTAATTTGCCCATGCCCCCAGAAGGAGTCGGTATCAGTCTTAGTTACTACACGGGCACATTGTACTGTGTGTCAAGTGCTATGTGAGGGCAAAATTTACTGCTGCTTATCCCATGGATCCAAGGTGCGTAGCACTATGACTTGGCATTGGTAGCAGGGAGATTTTTTTTCTTCTGAATGAGTGCAGCTCAAGTGACAGCAGTTTTTTTCCAGCTCTTCATGTATGTTTTTCCTTCGAGAGCTGCTTATTCTTCAGAGTAGCTTTGCAGTTTACAGCCCACCTATAGACACGGTCCTCTGGGGATGCCAGACAAGTTTTTACTTTAACCCTGGTGCAACTGGAGATTTAATTCCATCCACTTGATATTCTAGCGGTGCTTCCTAGCACTGACATCTCTGTGCTTGGAAGAGTTTAATGTGCGTATGTGACTCCGTGAAGGCCTCTGGCCCGGCCCAGCTGTAGAAGGATGACTACGCAAAGCATTCTGGGATGTGGATAGTGTCTGACAGGCTAATCATTCTGTGAATTTTCCTCATTGTCTAGTTTAATCTTTTCTGACGCAGTGAGACGAATAACACAACGGAACACCAGTGCTGGAAGCCACAAGCCTTTCCTGAGCACCGTAGCTGAACACTGGCAATGGAAAGAATCTACTTGAGCAATCAAGCACCCACGTAAAATAACAATTAACTAGCAACCCCAATGCAAGAGGGACTTTACTTTGCTGCAGAATGGCATTGTACAATGGCAGAGTAAACATACCAGGCCAAATCCACCCCTGCTAGCTTAGCTTCTTGGGAGCCCAGAGCCTGCCCTGAGGAGGGTCATGGAGTCAGAATTCTTAAGCAGAGGTTTTAGGGGAATGTTCTCCCTGCATATAAACTAAAAAGTTTGGGGCTTTGTCTGTTGGCATCTTCTAATAATCTGCAATAGGCCTTGTACTGTGAGTGTATTGGCAAGGGCACTTGCATAGCCAAATGTAGCAGAGTCCATGAATTTAGAGTGCGCCCAGCAAATTAGCCAGGCACCATGTGGGAAAATTCCTCCAGGCCACAGAGGTAATAAACAGCCCCTGCTGCAAGAATCTATTGACTGGGTATGGCAGAATCGATACGTTGGAGTGATTTAGGAAAAACGCTGATCCCCCTATTGAATTGGCAAGCTGTCTATTCTCCAAAACAGAGCCATCTAGACTGAGCAAGGAGCCGAACAATGGTGAAATATGAGATGCAGTGAGAGAGGAAGCTGAACAGTGCAACAGCCATGTACGATTAAAAACAGAGTGAAAAAGGGGTGGAGGTGGGGTGAAAAGGCTGGGAAAATAAGCCCCCAATGGGCTCTGACCTGGAGGAGTCCATCCAAAGAGAGATTTAAAAGGACTAGGGGGTAGGACTCACTTCACCAGCTGGGTTCAAGAAGTCCAAACAATTGCTCTTTCTTCACATGGTAAAAACAGCTCCAGAGAGCAAAGCCTCACTGTGTTAGGTGTGGTACATGCAGTTAGGAAGAGACAGCTCCTGCTCCAAAGAGCTTACAATCTGAATAGACACAGGCAAAGGAAGTATTATTATCCCCACGTTACAGTCCAGTGACTTAAGCACAAGTCCCTCCTTCCTGACTGTTTGTGGAAGAGTGATCTAAATTTAAGGCCTCCCGACGGGCAGAGAACCGTGACAAGCATGCCTAGCGCCAGCAAACAGAAAGTACCCATCACCTTTCCATCAGCCAGAGAGCTGGGGAAAGCGGGGAAGATGATGGAGTGTGGAGATCCCCTGTGAAAGGCAGCAGAGCTCTAAGGACATATGGAGGCCAAGGCCTAGAGAAATGGGCCAAATCCTGCCGAAACATCCATCAACTGGAAGGGGGCTGTAATTTTTCTTCCTCACAGAAAGGAGACCTCAGCAATGACTGGTAAATCAGAGTCCGGTTGGCAGTTTATAGTGCAGTAGTTTAGCAAGGTACCGAGCAATCAATGAACTCTATTGTTGGACTTTGACCAAGACACGAGACAGGTTTTGATCAAGACATTCCCTAGGAGACCACCTGCATGCCGTGCAGCGCTGCAGGAGGGGAAGGTCTGGAATGCCCCCTGGGACACTATTATGGAATTTCCCACCAGACTAAAACCCATGCTAAGGGTTGGAAGCCATGTGCTCATGAAGTTTCCAACCCAATCCTAGCTACCTTGGGTATTTAGATGGCTCCTGTTATGGTAGTACCCGAGAAATGTCATACCTTTAAGACTCTTCCTAGTGAAACAGGAGAGCCTCGGGAGGAAGTGTCTCTCTTTATGGCCAGATGCCCCTGGTGCTCCCCTGGGGTGGTGCCTACATTTGGCCCTTACAATGGGCTGCGGCAAATAGCACTGTGTGCGGAACCCAGTGAGGGTCAGCTGGAGAGGGGAATATAGCCTGGTGGTCTAAGAAGGCCTGTTATTCCCGAGATCTGTGGGGCTGTCTGGAGTTGCGTGCATACGAATGGAGAAGTAATAGGAGTAAAATATGAGCTGTGAGGGGCTCTGGACGGTACTAGCCCGATATAAATCATCAGAGGTGGTTGAAAAAAGGTGAGTATATTTCATAGGAAAATATTGAAAGAAACCATTTTTTTATTTCATTTAAATTGTTTAATAATATTTTTTGTGGGATGGCAAACCCAGCTTCTCTGTTTATTCCTTTATTTTCCTGTCCTCCCCATGCTTCCCGCCGGCACCCCCCCCCCCCC